TCTCTCTCTCTCTGTCTCTCTCTGTCTCTCTCTCTCTCTGTCTCTCTCTTTCTCTCCTCTCTCTGTCTCTCTCTCTGTCTCTCTCTCTCTGTGTCTCTCTCTCTCTCTTCTCTCTCTCTCTCTCTCTCTCTCTCTCTCTCTCTCTCTCTCTCTCACCATTTTGGCCTTCCTCTGATCCTGTCTCTTTCCCACTTTAGTTCTCATTCTCTCCCTTGCCTGCTTCTTCTGCCTGGTGGGGAATGGAGTACCTTCAGCATTCTCCCATCAGGCCTCATGCTGACTGACTTCCTCCAGGCTCCTGTGATGGCTCCCTGGCCTCTCTTCAGCCTCCACCTTCTGCTGCTGTTCCTGCTGCTGCTGCCCTTGACCAGAGCCCATCGCTTCTCTGTACACAACACCAGCCTCAACCACCTGGTGCTGGAGCCAGGCCAGGGCACACTCTACGTGGGTGCCGTGAATCACCTCTTCCAGCTCAGCCCTGAGCTGAAGATGGAGGCTGTGGCTGTCACTGGCCCTGTCATCGACAGTCCTGACTGTGTGCCTTTCCATGACCTGGCTGAGTGCCCCCAGGCCCAGCTCACTGATAATGCCAACCAGCTCTTGCTAGTGAGCAGCAGGGCCCAGGAGCTGGTGGCTTGTGGGCAAGTGAGGCAGGGTGTGTGTGAGAAGCGGAGCCTTGGGGATGTGACTCAGGTGCTGTACCAGGCTGAGGACCCTGGTGACGGGCAGTTTGTGGCTGCCAATACCCCAGGAGTAACCACAGTGGGCCTAGTGGTGCCCTTGCCAGGCCGAGACCTCCTGCTGGTGGCCAGGGGCCTGGCAGGCAAGCTGTCAGCAGGGGTACCGCCCCTAACTGTGCGCCAGCTGGCTGGCCCGCAGCCTTTCTCCAGCGAAGGTCTGGGACGACTCGTGGTGGGAGACTTCTCAGACTATAACAATAGCTATGTGGGGGCTTTCTCTGATACCCACTTTGCCTACTTTGTCTTCCGTCGGCGTGGAGCCCGGGCCCAGGCTGAATATCGCTCCTATGTAGCTCGTGTCTGCCTTGGAGATGTCAACCTTTACTCCTATGTGGAAGTGCCCCTTGCCTGCCATGGCCAGGGCCTTATCCAAGCTGCCTTCCTTGCTCCAGACACATTGCTAGGCGCATTTGCAGCAGGCACAAGTCAGGCACAGGCAGCCCTGTGTGCCTTTCCCTTAGCTGACCTGGACAAGAGTATGGAACAGGCCAGGCGACTTTGCTATACCACTGGTGGTCAGGGTCCCAGTGGCATGGAAGAAGCCACTGTGGAATATGGTGTCACATCCCGTTGCATCACCCTGCCTCCGGTGAGTGATGAGAGCCTGACTCCCAAATTTTGACCATGGGTTCTGTCTTCCTTTTCTGTTCCTTACTCTGCCCTGCCAGCTCTCTCCCTCTGTGGTATGGGACAGGGGTACTCTCCAGGAATAGCTACTGGTTAACCTCTTTGCTAGCTATATCAATAGGTAGCAGATGGCTCTGTCTCCAAGCTCCGACCTGCTCTCAGCCTTTTTCTTTCTGTCTCTCTTCCTCTGTGGGACAAGTTGTGATGTTGTAAGGCTTGGGGGACCAGCTTTCCAGACCCTCCTGGCCAGGATGCTCTGGTTCCTGATTCCTCCCAACTCCTTTTTCACTGGCTGTAGGGGTATCCTCTGCTCCCAGGGGAGGGCATGCCCACCCTCCTGGGTATTGATTCTCCACACCTTGCCTATCCAGGACTCCCCTGAGTCATACCCCTGTGGTGACGAACACACCCCCAGCCCCATCGCAGGCCGCCAACCCCTGGAAGCCCAGCCTTTGCTACAGCTGGGACAGCCCATCAGTGCAGTGGCTGCTCTCCAGGCAGATGGGCACACGATAGCCTTCCTGGGAGACACCCAGGGCCAGCTACATAAGGTGAGATCCCGACCAATGGGGGTGTTCTTAGATGGCCTCCACACTTTCAGGCTTGGCCTGGCTTTGCTGCTTGTCCAGGTGGCCCTACCACTTGTGGTTCAGGAAAGCCTCAGGACACTCTACCTCTCAGCTGTGCCCCATTGGTGGGTCAGAAGGCTTCATTGCACCTGGACATCTGGTATGATCCATTTCCTGCTCTAGTCCCCAAATGAGATACTACCCAGGAACCTCTGGAGGCAGCTGCGCCTTCTCCTAACCAATGAGAGTGATGCTGAAGGTGGGTGGGGATGGTATGTAGACAGGCCCAGAGGACCTGAGCTCAGAAGTAGCCTGGACTCAGGATTCTCTCTAAAACAAACCCTGCTTCCCAGTGAACTTTTTGTTTCTATAGCTGTTGTCGTTCTCATATGGCAGAATGGCCTGATATTCAAGAGCCTCAGCCAGGGCACTTCTACTGCCCCAGCCTTGTTACTTCCTGGAGAGTGGATTAACCTTGAGGGTCCTGAATGAGAGAAAGTGGTGTGTCTGTATCTTGATGGCCTAGCAGGAGGGGCGTCTGGTTCTGGAGGAACAGGCTACTTCCTGAGAGTTTTTATGTTCCTGTAAAGAAGACAGGAAAGCATGTGCCTTCAATGGTCATCATTAAGTCATCAAGAAAGTTGGTCTTGGCTTGGCAGAGTGGCCCAGTCCTATCTTTGTGCTCCTGTCCAGGTCTTCCTAAACAGCTCCCAAAGCCAGATATACCATTCCCAGCAAGTGGGGCCCCCAGGCTCAGCCATCAGCCCAGACCTGCTGGTAGACAATAGTGGGAACCACCTCTATGTCCTGACTGCCCAGCAGGTAAGGTCTGTCTCTGGAACTGGGTGTGATGTGTCTAAGTGACCTGAGTCTTTATAACCCACCTTTACCTCTCCCTCACTGCCCATCCAGGTAGACCGGATTCTTGTGGCAGCCTGTCCTCAGTTCCCCAACTGCACCACCTGCCTCCAGGCTAGGGACCCACTGTGTGGCTGGTGCATCCTTCAGGGCAGGTGAGCATGGGCCCAGGCTTAAACCAACTGGCTCTGGGGGCCAGGAAGCTGACTGCAGAAGCAACTGTAGGTGTTCCAAGAGGCCCACTTGGCTCAGTGTTGCTGAGCTCCTTAATCTCATCTCAACTCACCAGGTCACCATTCATCTCTCATTCCAGTAATCCCACCTCAAGCCCGGCCTCTGACACCTCTTCCAGGACCCATGACTTGCTGTTGATGTTCCTTGGTCCACTCCAGCTTTCCTCCATCCTGGGCTGTCAGCTCAGGACTAATTTATGAAAACCTGAATTGTGGGCTGGGAATATAGCTCAGTTAGTGGAGTGCTTGCCTAGCATGCATAAAACTCTGGGTTCAACTCCTACCACGTATAAGCTAGGCATGGTGGTACACACCTGTAATCCCAGCACTTAGGAGGCAGAGGCAGGAAGATTAGAAAACAAGGTCATCTTCAGCTACATAGTAAAGTTTCAGGCCAGCCTGGGAGACATGGGCCCTTGTTGGAGGAGAAGGAAAGAGGGAGAAAGGAAGGAAGTGTTTTCCTCTTACTCATAGTGAAGGCTAAAGCCTGCACCCTGGCCATGAGGCCCCATGCTCCCTCACTCCTCCTCCTTGCTGCACTCCAGCCAAGCCATCCTCCTAACCCCATGCCAGGGAGCCTGAGACTCACGTGGTGAACCAATGGGCTCCTACCTGGCAGGTGTACTCGGAGGGGCGAGTGTGGACGGGCAGCCCAGCCAAACCAGTGGTTGTGGAGCTATGAAGACAACTACTGCCTTCACATTCAGAGCCTGCTACCAGCCCAGCACCCCCGCCAGGAACAGGGCCAGGTGAGGCACTGACATTGATGGTTTCAGCCAGTGTGGCCATTGTCTCTGGGAACACAATCTTAGATGCTTCCTGTCCACTTCTTCCCTAGATGCCTCTGCCCACAGCCCCAGCATGATACTTACACCTCTCTGCTCTAGATCCATCATCTCCCTGTTTCCCTCTCATGTGTCATAGGTCACTCTGTCTGTTCCCCGGCTGCCTACCCTGGCTATGGATGAATACTTCCATTGTGCTTTTGGGGACTATGACAGTCTGGCTCATGTGGAAGGGCCCCATGTGGTCTGTGTCACCCCTCCTGGAGATCAGGTGCCACCTAACCCTCCAGGCTCCGGTGAGTGGACCTTTGAGTAGGGATCCTGGGGTGGAACTGGAGCAGGCAGGAGCTACAAGACCTTCTCTGCCACCACTCACTGTCCCCTTCCAGATCATGTCACCTTGCCCCTGGCTCTGATGTTTGAGGATGTGGTTGTGGCTGCCACCACCTTCTCCTTCTATGACTGCAGTGCTGTCCAGGCCTTGGAAGTGGCTGCCCCGTGAGTTCCTGGATCTGGCTCCTGATGGGTAAGGGTGGAAATCCAAGATGGTGCCCAGCCTGAGAACATCCCTGCCCCTCCAGGTGTCGCACTTGTGTGGGCAGCCTGTGGCGGTGCCACTGGTGCCCCCAGAGCAGCCATTGTGTATATAGCGAGCACTGCCCAGAGGGTGAGAAGACTGTCTACAGTGCCCAGGAGGTGGGTATGATCAACATAAGAACTCCTTGCACTTGATCGACCCAAAAGGCTATCCCAGCAGGACAGGACCAGACCTACCCAGGAGTGGTCCCATGCAAGTTTGAAGGGCTAAGGCTGTCCTTTCCCTAGGTGGACATCCAGGTTCGTGGCCCAGGGGCTTGTCCTCAGGTTGAGGGCCTAGCAAGTCCCCAATTGGTGCCTGTGGGCTGGGAGAGCCATTTGGCCCTGCACATTCAGAACCTTCACTATTTCCGAGTGAGTAGTCAGGTGGATGGGGGAATGAATGAGGGGAGAGAAGACAGTGTCCACAAGACTGACATTATGGCATCTGCACTTTCCAGGGTCTGCCTGCCTTATACTACTGCTGGCTAGAGCTGCCTGGAAAACTGCAGAAGCTACCTGCCTTCCTAGAGGAGACATCCAAGGACTCTGGCCTCATTCACTGCCAGGCCCAGCAGGTGAAAAGCTGCTTGGTGTCTTGGGCAGCCCCACTCCACTCAAACACACACACACACACACACACACACACACACACACACACACACACACACACACACACACACACACACACACACACA